GTCGACAACCGGGAGAACCCATGAATTCAATCGAGTTTTACATTTCGTGTCATATATTCAAAGAGATCTTAGAGTGCGTCCAGTATTTGCATGAATTGGATCCACCGATAATTCATAGGGATCTCAAACCCGACAATGTTTTGGTGGCACAAGAAGTCAAGAACAGTCGGTATTTTAAATTATGTGACTTTGGTTTGTCGACAGTACACGACCGGGACTTCTATACTGTGACTGGTCAACAAAGTGGTGCTCCTGTATATCAGGCACCAGAAGTTACAAGTGGTAGGTTTGACCACAGGGTAGACATCTATGGTCTCTCCAAAATCGGTGAAAAACTATTTGATTTTAATATCAATGATATGAAGTAAGTTTCTTTTAAGAAATTACTAGAAATAGTAAATTAATAATATTGAAAAATATTTGCTTTAAATATAGTCCGCAATCGTATTCATCAGATAATGAAGTCTTAAACAAATGTGTCATTAAATTATGGGAAGTTTTGGTTTCGATGGCTTTGTATCCCAATTGGGAGGACAGACCCGAGTGTAAGGATGTGTTGAAGACATACCACGAGTGGGCTATTGATAGCAAACATTTGGCAAAAGATTTGAAACATTTAAATACTATTGATTCAAATGATTATCAGTTTTTCATAAACTATTTTCACTCTAAATGTGGTCTCATTGATGATTCAGACCTAGATTAAATGTTTAAAATAACATTTAGCTAATTAAAAATGATATAAAATTTCTCTGTAGCCCTTGTGGTCATCTTAATTATTATAGTTTTATTATATTTAAATCTCGAGTACTTTTAGTTTAATTTATTTAATTATTAAAACATTAACAAAACATTTATATATTGAAATATACGTATTGTTAGTTAATAATTTTTATTTAACAAAATATTTTTGTCTTAAGTTGATTATATATAATTATTAAATATATATTTCAGCAATAATTGTTTATCGTATCACTTGTTATAGTTATTGTAATGTAAAACTATTATATTAAAAAAGTAAACGCGTGGGTATTTTAGCAAATAATATTATCTAGATAAGCAATTTCACGTAAATCATCTAGTGATAATCTGCATACAAATTTCTATACACAACAACAAGTGATATAACAGTAAATCATTGTATTTCAAAATCTATACAATAAATAGAAAGCAAAATATAATCAAATGGATTTAATATAAGTAGTAAGATAAACCTTTATTATGTCTAGAGTCTAGACAATTAACGGTTAAATTATTATACATTTAAATATTTTGTGTTATTACTGAAAAATATGTTCAATTATTTTTATTGCAAACATAGGGTGACTCGAAATGAATTGATTTAACCATTTATATATTATACAGTTTTTATAAATTTTTTTTGGATAATAACCGAAAGCGATCGCAAAGCATACGGAGGCAGAGATGAACGCATTATGTAAGACACAACTCGTATTCATTAATTTTATTCACTAAATAACCCATAATTAGCATAAAATTTGATTTTGTTTATTTAAATCTGTATTAAGGAGTTATAACTTATAACTAAAAATCATCAGTACTTACTATGGGTGTCACCGCTGTCCAACTTTTATTTAATTATATTCTACATTATTATATATGTTAAGTATGTTAAATTAAAAATATCTATGTCCGATAATCTATGGGAAGGTGGTATGGTCATAATCCAGTGGTCAAGTTTCCGATATTCGTATAAAGTTCTATACAAACTCAATAGACATTTGATGTGAATTCATGCATAGTATGAGAAATGTAGAAAAGTGAATAATGCATATCAAAACTTTGAAAATTATACGAATGTCGGAAACTTGACCACTGGATTGACCACTGGATTATGATCATACCACCTTCTCATAGATTATCGGACCCAGATATTCTTAATTTAACATACTTAACACATATAATCATGTAGGTTTGAATTAAATAAGAGTTGGACAGCGAGTGACACCCCATTGTTAGTTATACTTAGTTATATGAAA